ATGAACACAATACTCCAAAATTGGTGTAACCAGTGATCTGTACGATGAAATTATAACCTCTTTAGACTTATATTCAATATTTCAATATATACAACCTAAAATTCTATTTGCCACTAACAGTTAAGACTTCTACTATATAATAACACTTAGCAGAATAAGGTTCTCATTTTTGGTAGGTTGGTAGACTAAATGTGCAACAGGTACCTGTATATCTCCATAATGTAATAGGAACTAAATAATATTTTGACCTCATCAGTTTTCTAGCAGAAAGATCATAATTTCATTTAACTTCTGTTTCCTATGGTTAAAAAATAAATAAATGGAACTTCTACTAGTATCTCTATGTTATCAAGGCTACTTGTAAACTGTTACTAGTGGACCAAATTCAAGCCAATTAAAACAGGCTGTTACTGTGATACTACCCCTACCACTATTCACAGATGACAAACACAGTGTTCTTCAGTTGCTGTCAAATTGGGATCCACTGTCTGAAGTATGCAGTAATAAAAGTATGGGTAATTTATTTCTTCACCTGAACTTCGATGCTCAAGGCATCATGAGAGCTGGTGATCATGGGTTTGAATCCCCTCGCCCTTTCAGTCATTAGGGCATTATAACATGACAGTCAATCAATCTCACTATTCGTCATTAATAAAGAGTAGTCCAAGAGTTGGCAGTGCGTGGTGTTGACTACCTTTTATCTAGGCTATCACTTCAAAATTAGGGACAGCTAACACAGATAGTCCTTGAGGTGCTTTATGTGAAATTCAATAAACATATAAAACTACTTTGCAGAGACTATGCTAGGTACTTAAAATATTTGGGGCTTGGGCTCATAGGCACAGTAATTTTCAGTGCTTCAGTATGATATGGATAATGGTTTTCTATTCTAATTTTTCAAGACACCAGTTGAAAATTTGGAGCACTGTCAGATAGAATCAGGGCACATGCCCCACTGTACAAGTGCCTAGTGATGCCTCTGCTTTATGCTTTTCCTTATCTTGTAAGAAACTTTTTTTTAATTTTATGTTTCTCTTTTAAAAAAATTGTAAAGAATACGTTTTCTTGTAAAACAGGACCAGACTAAATTTTTAGTTAATTATTCTTTAGGTAACAGCTCTAACTACTGCCTATTTCCAGGGTAACAGTACCAGAGTGAATGGAATTGATGACGCTGCACAGTTCCAGATTGTTAAAAGTGCTCTGTCAGTTATAGATTTCACAGAAGAGGAAATAAATGTAAGTTATCTAAAGTTAAAGCAGTGCAGAGTTAACAATATGTTCTTGTTGAAAACCAAAATATACGAACTTTAGAATGAAAATTATATCTAGTTTGCATATGTAAAGTATTTAAATTTGTAAAGTGCTTTTTTATTTATTTAACTTTCTTTAGAACAAAATCAGAATGATGATGTTTCTTAATTATTGAATCAAAAGAATGACCTACCAGAAAGATCAACTGAATGTTTTTACAAAAATGGCTTAAAAGAATTATGGCTTCAACTGTATGTTAGCAACGTACAGTTTGTTTACAAAAAATATTTGGACAGCACACCTTGAAAAGGAAAGTGCCCTGCTTCACTGCTGAGGCTCTATTTTTGTATGAAGTTCATTAATATTCGACTTTAATCACACTTAGACTTAACTAAAACTTGTCATCAACTATTGATACACCTACACTGCAAAAGAATGCCACTTCCCATGCAGAGTAATTCCAAGTGTAGTGAGAATTTAAAATCTTTCCTTCTTCATGTTTTCAGGTCACACTCCAAATGTTCCAGAATAGTTCAGTTAAATTCCATCAATGCAGGCAGTACATAACTGTCCAAAATTTGAAAATATGACAAGGATTTCATGATTTCTTTAACTGTTACTAGTGGGCCAAATTCAAGCCAATTAAAACAGGCTAATGCTGTGATACTAGCCCTACCACTATTCACAGTTGGTAAACACAGTGTTCTTCAGTTGCCAACAAATACGGGTCCAATGTGTGAAGCATGCAGTGGGTATTTTGTTTCTTCACTTGATTGTTCTTCATCCCAATCTTTGATGCTTAAGGCAGACTTCAATATAGATAGGTGGACTGAAATGTTATTGACACTTTTCAGAAAAATAAGATTGTTTTCTATGGAGTGTAAATAATATTTAATTAGCTAAATAATTTTAATATTGAATGCAACTTAATTTTGATAGATCATTTTACCGACAATAAGCATAATTTAGTTTAAAAAACAAAACCAAACAACATCTTGCATCTCGAAATTTAGTTATGGTTAATTATGAATTGTTTTTGGTGTTTAGAACTTCTAGAAGTGGTAGTTTCCAAGTAACATTAGTACTAGCTTCCAAAAAAATACTCAAATTGTTTATTCTGTAATTTGATTAATTTGTACTTCTGATAACAGAAACGTTTTTCCTCAGTTTATTTCTATGATAACTTCCATAATATAAGTTATTTCTTCTAGGCTTTGTTTGCAGTTGTTGCATCAGTTCTTCACCTAGGTAATGTTGGCTTCACAGAGGATGATGGTCGTGCTGTTATTGCACAGGAGAAATCAGTTTATTCTGTATGCAAGGTTAGTTACAGTGTTATAGTGTTAATGTTGGCTTCACGGAGGATGATGGTCGTGCTGTTATTGCACAGGAGAAGTCAGTTTATTCTGAATCCAAGGTTAGTTATAGTGTTATAGTACTGTGATATTTTCACAGTTGTATCATAGCAACCACAAGCGATTTCATTAATTTCTACATTAAGCTGTGCAAATTGTACTGTTAGACAACTAATTGGTGGTAAATATGTAGAATGGCTTCTTCTTCTTTTGTTCTTTAGCTCTTAGGATGTCCGGAAGATATGTTGAATGATGCCCTTACTCATCGTACTATTGAAGTTTGTGGTGATTCTGTGAGTACATCTAATGAGATACTTTTCATACTTATTTACATACACATTGGAATGATAGTAAATTATGTGTATAATATCACCTGGTTATGTTTAATTGTTACTTGCTGTTTGACAAATACAAATAGAGTTCAGATTGATTTTTAAGTTTATATAAAGTTTGCTACATCATTTCAATAAATGTTGTAACTGTTCTCAGATCTTGACTGTGCATTTTTTAATGAAAGTTTTGGATTGGTAAGATTTGAATTCATATACAGCTAGTACAATTATTAACAGAAATTCAATAAAATTCAAGGACACTTTGTGTTAGAATAAATTAATGTGTATATTTTAAGATGCTTGCACAGAATATTAGTTTATATTCAGTAGTTTCATTTGTATTTAAATAAGCTAGAAATGCTTATTATTTATTGTTTTAAAGGAATTAGTTTTCAGTTCTCTATAATTAACCGAATTCAAAGAGGAGGTATTTTTTTAAAGGTTGTAAGTCCACTGAATCGAGACCAGGCTATACGTGCAAGAGATGCCATTGCAAAAGCTGTGTATGAGCGACAGTTTAAGTGGTTGGTCCAGAAGTTAAATGCCTCTCTAGAAAATAAGGTGAGTTAAAACGTGTGTTACTCTATAGTTGCATTATGACTGATTTTTTTTTGTTATATCAGGAAACTTATGTTTGTGTTGGAATGTTGTTTCTTGTTCAGTGATTTTTGCCAACAAAAGTACCTTTTGTACTATATTTTTGAATCATTTTTGCAATTTTTCCAAGCCCATCTCTTTGGCTTTGGTTTTACTAGATAGCAAACAGGGGAAGTAGGACACTATTCATGTGTAGAGTCATAAAAACATTTATGTATATATGAGGTAATGTGTGGTGACTATATATATGTGTGTGTTTGTGTATATACATACAATGTATTTATTTTTATGAGAGTTATTGACTGTAGTGATAAAAAGCTTTTTACATTAACGAGTTAAAAGTAACTTAATTATTTACTTCAGTAATATCAAAATATCGAACTTTACATAAAATGTAATCAAAAGAAAATAAACATTTTTATTTTTACAACATCAACTTTTCACATGTGCAGTTTCTTTCTAAAGTCTCGATAGAAATATTTTTGCCTTCACATTGTTTATTAAAATATAAGTTTATAAACTAACCCTATAGAAAAATTCACCGAAACTGGCACACCTACTTTATTACCAATTTTATACTTAGTCTAAAAAGTAAAATACTCTTAAATTCCTCCTGCAGGATGATGCTGGAAAGAAAACCCTAATGGGTCTGCTAGATATTTACGGGTTTGAAATCTTTAAAAATAACAGGTGAGACTGTACGAACTGTGAGTATGACATATTTATGTAAAACCAAAAGTTTATTTTGAAAAACTGTTGTTTACACCATTTTCTTTTTTATTCAAGTATGATAGGTAAAGCTGTTGAACTGAAATTTATTGGAAAGATAGTTTTATTGTATGGTTTGGTTATTAAAGCTGCATTTTACTTGATGTTTATAAGCAGCGATGTACATCTGATGCGATTAACACCAGTTTAACTTTACTCTTTCCTTAAGTGGAGGGATATTTATTCAGACCACATTTAGAGAAAATCACTTTTAAGTAAGTGTGTTGAACAGGTTAAAATTTTAAGTTAACTGACCAACAAAAAAAAGGAGTTTGTAATGAAAATTATTATGTTTCAATCAGAATCTCTTTATGTCAGTTTTAATCAGTTTTTTTATTTAGCCTGAAACGGTTAGCTTAAGAATCTGAATCCATCAGATACTGGTAATTTGTTTTCAGAATTCATCCTAATGTAAAAATATGTTTGTCTAAACATTGGTATTTGCAGCATACTTTATATCACGTATCTCCAGTGACCTATTTTGTGGCCATGGTTGTTTCAGAAAAGCTTAAAAAGATGGGTAAATCATACTTAAAGTTACCATTCCTGAGTTGGATATATATATGTAGGAACTCTGATAAATATGTAAAGATTTATTTGTATGTTTTATCTATTAATTTATAAAAACTTTGATTATCTGAATCTTGTGTTTTTTATTATTTAGTGAGATGTGTAAGATCCATTGGAACAGATGTATTAAGTTATAACCTTAAGAATATACACTGAAGTCGCACACTTTCTCAAAAGTACCTTAAAAAATGCTATTTAAAAACAAAATTTGTGATATTTGTTTTACATTTTTATGGTTAATGTTCAGGGAGTATGGGAAGATTGGGTTCAGAATTAATCTTGAAGCAGTTATGTAAGTGTGACGAGTTATTCCTATTAATCTTTACAGTGTGTGTGTGCGTGCTAGGTCTTGAACTGAAATCTGTAACATTTCATTACAGTTGTATGTACACTGCATGAATTATGCTGGGCTCTTTCTATCATTGCAATTTTTACCAATATATATGTGTGTGTGTGTATAATACTAAGTGAACCTGGTAACAGAGAAGTTAAAGAAAATTTATAATTTGTTTCAATAATGGTAAAATTTGTTTCTCAAATATCAAGTTGAAGTAAAAGTGAAGCTGTTATGTACTAGAAGAATACTATTGGCTAAGCAAATGGATAAAACAAGGGAAATTGTCCAGCAGTGATTTGATTCAGCAAAATCCTGTTTGTTTTGGTAAACTATTTACCAGGAAATTTGGTAATAAAACTTGCAAACTTATATTGATTTATAAACTAAATTTTTTTCAGTGCTGCCTGTTTTGTTTCTAGATAATTAAACATTTCTAAGATATTTAACTGTTGTTATGTAATTTCTGTAATCATTTCTTTTTGTGTATTTCAGCTTTGAGCAGTTTTGTATCAACTATTGCAATGAGAAACTTCAACAACTTTTCATTGAACTAACACTAAAGTCCGAACAGGAAGAATACAGGAAAGAGGGCATTGAGGTATTAAGAAAAAGTTTGACTTACCTTTCAACAAACAGAATAGTTACTGGTTGATAAAACGTAGTATGATTATTTGTTATGTTATCGGCCATTGATGACTATTCCATTACTACTTCAAGGTACAGAAGTCCAAAGTAAATTATATATATCCAGAAAATAAAAATAAAAAATTTATTGTAGGCTTTTCTCATAAATGTTTGTAAATGAAAATAGTGAAAGTTTTTGAAGATAGCGGTGACTTTGTGGATTGATTGTAAGCTCTTATGAGTAAAAGTAAAACAGACAATAATAATATGTCAGCCACACTATATCTGATATATCCAATGCTGATGAGGCATTTTGTCCAATACCAGGGTGGCCCGGCATGGCCAGGTGGATAAGGCGCTCAACTCACAATCTGAGGGTCGCGGGTTCGAATCCGCATACCACCAAACATGCTCGCCCTTTCAGCCGTGGGGCCATTATAATGTGACGGTCAATCCCACTATTCGTTGGTAAGAGAGTAGCCCAAGAGTTGGCGGTGGGTGGTGATGACTAGCTGCCTTCCCTCTAGTCTTACACTGCTAAATTAGGGACGGCTAGCGCAGATAGCCCTCGTGTAGCGTTGCGCGAAATTCAAAAACAAAACAAAAAACCAATACCAGGGATCATCAGGCTGGCTGAGATACAACAGACACGATAGTGATCCAGACACTGTTTATATCATCAATTGTTTTAACAACAACTGTTTCAATGTAATCTAATTAAAGTAATGAACTGGAATTTTTATGAATTTTATTCAAGTCGTTACGCATCATAATCAGGTTTATGAATAGGGATGTAAAATTTATTTTCAACTGAAATATTACACAGACATGCAATCACATGCTTTAAACTCAGACTTCACTCTACAAATATAGCTTGACATAAATTAAATACAAGTAACAAAACAATTTCTAAAAACTTTCTTTAATAAATGTTGGTATAACTAAAAATATTTGATGGGGGGGAGGAGTAGAAACATGAGGTAGATCTTATTTTTATTCTCTCTTTGGTACTGTACATAATTGTGTTTTATAATTTATAGTTTTGTAGTTTATGGATTGTTGCAGTAAATTGTTAATCATCAGAACAAGAATTGATTAAATTTCTAACCTAGTTTACAGAAATGTAGAATATGGCATGAGTTATTGACGTAACTGTTTTAGCAAACCAGTGTTGTGGTGTACGCAGTAAAATCACTTTGTTCGTAAAGGAATAATTCAACCAACACTAAGTAAAACTCAAACAAATTACATATCACTAAATTGTGGATCTGCTTAACAGTGAGACTCCTCTTTCACTATAATAAAAAATTACCCATTAACTGGTGAGTTTCCATGTTTTATTTCTTTGTGTCAGTAATTGTCAATTAGCAAGATTTATGCTTTGGTCTATTAGTTCAAAATTAGAGATGGTTGTAGCAGATAGCCCTTGTGCATCTTTGTGTGAACATATGAAATAAACAAGCATAAATTTTTTTTCTGACAGTCATGCTTTTGTGTCTTTCAAATTTTTTCAGATGAAACCAAACTTGCTAAAAAGACTTTCTTTAAAACCTTTTTTGAGCTACAACATCATCAGGTCATCATTATTTTTGCTTTTCAGTTATTATACTAGTGTTGCCCATCTCTGTGATGCTCACAACTTTAAATAAAGTCTACTTTGTATACATCAAGTAACTGCTTTATCTTCTTTTCTTAAAACTGTAGTCATAAAACTTGTATATTTTTTCTCTTATATTTACTTGATAAGACTGAGTATTTGACATGTTTGTTTAGTGTGGTGCTCTTCTTTATTTTTTACTGACAAATTTCTTCAGGGGTCCTTTTTTATCCACACATAAAACTTGATATTGTAAAGTATTTAAAAAATATATCAACGTCTGTATAACCAAGGCTTTGTGACAAGAACTTTTATGCAAAGATCATTGAAATATAACTTAATCTTTTTTCTCATATATTTAAATTTTTATGTACTTACAATACTCACAATTATTTAATCTTCATTACAGAATTATTGAACTTAGAACTATCAGAAGATGTCAGTTTATTATCACCAGTCAATCCTAAAGTATAAATCAATAGGCCACCCTGTTGGATCAGTTGGCTATCTTTTAACAACTTACTTGTAATTTATGAAAACACAACCTCCATACAGTTCACAATGAACTAAAACATGTTATTAACTTGTTTATAACATTTCTAAAATATTGTTGCAGTTTTATTTATTATTTGATATATTCTTTCCCAAAGGTTAATTTCAAGTTGCTGGTTGTTTCTGATTTCATGTTTGAGTCAAGATACACTGCACAAACTCTGTGGAGAAATCACTATAGTTATTTTGTTTCCAAACTCTTCTTGTTTTTCTCTGTTATTTTAGCAGTGGCATAGGAAGCAAGGGGTCCAAACCCCCCACTTTTCAAGCTGTCCCTGTAAGAATTCATCAAAATTAAGAAAATTACTCTCAGGAAAATATATAAAAATTAATCCAAAATTTGTGAGTTTCCAGGGCCCTAAGGTGAGCCTTGCCCCCAGCCTTAATAGGTGTTCCTGTGGTCCACATTCCATTGCTTTGCATATTCAAATAAACCTTGGTCTTTCCCCCCACTTTTAATTTGCCTCCTACACCTCTGTTTAGCAATGCAGGATGTGTTCATACACAATATAATGTGTTTGTGTTGGCAGTATAATTTCACAGTATTATATGATGAACTTGAAAGATGTACAAAGAATATTTATATAGAAGGGTATGTAATACAAATGTATAAATCTAAAAACATTAACACAGCTTCACTTCTAAGGTCATTAGCTTTTTATAAAGTTTTGCTATTTACTATTTTAAGTAAATTTCTAGACATGACAATCAAAAGTTTACATTCAAACCTCCAGCATTCTTTTGCTCAACAAAAGAGGAAGGCTCGGTATATGCAAAGAAAGTGTTTTATTTAAAATAATAATAATTTCTTGGTTACTTACTTTAAGTTATCTCTATTTCAGTGGGAGCCAGTAGAATATTTCAATAATAAAATTATATGTGACCTTATAGAGGAGCAGCATAAAGGTATCATCTCCATTCTGGTAAGTTTGAGGAAACTGTAGAAAGCTGTTTAGGTTAGAAGTTATAACTTTTGTTAGGTTTAGATGAGTGGAATAGAGTTTGGATTAATTTGAAGGATTATGTATTAAAGGAAAATAAACTTTTCTGTTTCAACTTTATCTTCATTGCTCTTTTAAAAATACAGGAGTGGGATGTAAATTTTTCCCCCCCTTAAATATGCAAAGTATAGAGATATCAGTTGTTGTCTGTGAAGCGGGAAACACTTTAATTATTTCAGTATATATGATCTATAATAATGATTATATATACCTTTTTAGTTAGAAATAATTGCTTACACCTTTAGATTAAGTAAAATGGCTTTGTATGAATGCACTTTATATGTGATACCGTATAAAATTGTATTCAAAATGTTATCACTAAGTTAGCAAGATTCAAACTTTTGTTGTTGGTGCCAAGTTTCAAAACATGTTATTCTACGTTAGATCATAAATCCGAGTTGATAATATTTTTGAAAGATAAATGAGTTCTAAGAATAAATTAGGATAACTATAGTGCTTATCCTTTTATTTTTAAACATTTCTAGTTAAGAATTTCTGAACTGTATTTATCAAGAGTATACATGATTATAATTTATTTTTATAAAATTCTTGAAGATATCATAAATATCCAAAATAAAAATAAATTCATAAAGTTATTCTTAACAAATTCTTAAAAAAAACTGTTTAAATTTTCTCTATATTTCTAAGAAATTTGTAATCCAAAGTTATTGGAAATTATTTTAATTAATGAGTGTTATGTACATTGTAGGATGAAGAATGTCTTCGACCAGGTGATGCAACAGATATGACATTCCTTGATAAACTAGAAACAGTTGTTGGGTCACACCAACACTTTCTCTCCCATAAGATAGCAGACAAAAGAACTAAGAAAACGTTATGTAGAAATGTAAGAATCTTAAAAATTATTTTGAACGTCAGCTCAGATGGATCAGTAATTATTATATTTGCCATTTATTTTCTAGTTGAGAATATTGTAATATGTTGTATGTTGTTTTGAAGGGTAACTGTAATTATGATGATTGAACTTAAGGAGAAGATGCATTAAATGTAATTGCTTTTTAAGTATGATTTCACTGCTAGAAAATAAACTGCAATATGAGCTGAACCGTTACCACTCACTCGTCAACACCTGATAAATAGAGCGAGTGGTAATGGTTCAGTTCATATTTATCAGGTGTTGATAAGTGGTAATGGTTCAGCTCATATTTATCAGGTGTTGATGAGTGAGTGATAATGGTTCAGTTCATATTTATCAGATGTTGATGAGTGAGTGGTAATGGTTCAGCTCATATTTATCAGGTGTTGACTAGTGAGTGGTAAGGGTTCAGCTCATATTTATCAGGTGTTGATGAGTGAGTGGTAAGGGTTCAGCTCATATTTATCAGGTGTTGACGAGTGAGTGGTAATGGTTCAGTTAATATGAGCTGAACCCTTACCACTCACTTATCAACACCTGATAAATATGAACTGAACCATTACCACTCACTCATCAACACCTGATAAATATGAGCTGAACCCTTACCACTCACTTATCAACATCTAATAAATATGAGCTGATGCATTACACTCACTTATCAACATCTGATACGTATCAGACATCCAGACAAATATCACTGATGACATGTAATCACTACATTTGCGACATTTAACAAAAACATAATTTACTATTGCTATTAGCCAATATGCTTGGAAGTTATTGATTATGCGACATTGAGTATGTACCAAAGATACGCTATATACTAGTAGTTACAGACGTATGCAAACAGTTAATAATTAACTATCACAAGTAACTTGCATCATATAGAACTCTTAAAACTGTCAATTTATTGTAAATGTGGACTGTTTAAGCTTTGTTTTAATCATGTTACATATTCTATCATGCATGAAATCATTTCAACTGGGCCTTATTTTAGGGTCATTAAGGTCACTCTGAATTTAATTTATTTAATTATATACTTTTGCAGTAATTATGATAACAAAGACTTTCATCTTTCATTAATTACCATCATCTTTGACACAAATATTTATCTCCAAGCTGTAATTTATGTAATCAAAGTCTATAACTTATTCAAATAGCTTGAAAAAATATTATCGAACCCAGCTATGGGAATTGATAGTGTTGATACATCATATTTATTTAGTATAAAAAGAGTTAGGTTTGAAATTTTTTTTGGTTTAGTTCAATATAGTGAATAGGACAGCCTAGATAGACCATAAGGTCCTTTATTATTTTTTCATGTTATATTATCAAGCTTGTTTAATTTGAAAGCGTCTGAATATTATATAAATTGAACATGTCTGAGAACGTTATTGGCTTTGATAACTTCAGTGATTTGTTTATACCAAACAAATGTTCTGTTTTTTAGTAATTAACTCTTACTGGTGTGTGTATTTCAGGAATTCAGGCTGAGACATTATGCTGGAGATGTCACATACAGAGTAGAAGGTAACTATTTTGTACTGTTAATATGGGAATACTTTACTGCTCTATCTCAAACTTTAGTTGATAATAAAATATGCATAGGTTTATGCATTTTTCTAGAACTGAAAAATGTGACCTAGGTATCAACAATAACCCAGATTCAGGTATTAGGGCTCTTGCAATGCCTACTTGAGTTGTTAGTTATTGATGTGTTTGCTCTTGTGCATTTAATAACATTACAAATATGCAAAGGCACCTTCACAACTTTCAAACCATGGTTATCATAAACCGTACAGTAAGAAAAAAATTTATAGTGAGAAGAACTTTTATTAAGAATAAGGTGATGATAACTATAATAGCATTTTAACAGTCTGGTTCTGTTTCACTAAACTTTTAAAAAATGGGATTTATCAGTATAAGTATAGTATTTGTAATGTGTGTGTGTGTGTATATATACATAAATAAATAGCTTACAAACTATAGATTCAATTAATTGTTAATAAGTGATTAAATCAGCACTATAAAACAAAAATTAGCCTTCTTTTAATATGCATTTGATATCTTTTGTAAGTTCTCGTTAATCTTAGCTCATTTTGCAGATATGGAGTCTCACATAAAAGTAGCAATAAATAGCCTTACAGAACTGTATACTATATTCTTTCAATGAATAAGAATAAACAGTGGTTTCTAGTGTTGTATCCTTAAAATGTAATACCAGATCCACTACTTAGGGTTATCCACTGCTACAGGTTCAATCACAAATTCCCAAATGTGTTTTTTTTTTCTGGCTTTTATTATTCTATATTTTCTCTTAAAACAGACATTAAAATAAGCTTTATATAGTTTGATTACTAAATGTAAAAAATATCATTAAACTTGTTTTATTTTCTTAATAATTCTGATTATGATATATTGTTAACAGATTTGAGTGTTTTAGTTCCTTATAGTTCAGTAATCAGTTACTGCTTTTCTTTATCTAAGTTTTTTTTTCACTTTTAATTTACACATTAATGTTTTCAGGGTTTTTGGAGAAGAATAATGATCTTCTGTATCGAGATTTGAAAAAGGTAATTAGTTAAGCAATTTGGTTTAAACGTAATTCAGATTGTATCTTTAACTACGTGTACTTAAAATTTTTTTTAAAGAATTGCTGTTTATCTATTAACTAGTATAAAAGCCCTTTAAAAATCATGGGAAGCCAAAGCCTTCCAAATTTGTATCCTCCAGTATGTATTTGCAACTTTGCTGCCTATAAAGAGACATAAGAAAAATAAAGGGCCTTCTAGCTTCGGGGAAATCAAAGCCTATCACGAGCAATATTTCCTTTACCTAAAGACTGTCTCTTCTCAGCCTCTATCCTTGTCGCATTATTCATTGATCACAGTTATTTTCTAATCACACCAATTGCATTATTGGAACAGTTCTCTTGTAAATACTCGATCATCGTTCAAAAGTTTCTCTTCATAACAAAAGTCAAACTAGTTTCATTTAGTGCTAAATAAATCTTTGGTATAAAAACTCCCTCCTTGACAGGCTTTTATATAGAAGAAAAAATGCTGAAATTTAGGATCTATTTATGCCTATGTTAGCGATTGAATTCAACTAAAATGGGAACGGGCAATGAAAAGAGGAAGTATTATAGGAGGAAAAGTGGAATTGGACTCGTGTAACTCGTGAAATTCAGAGAAATCAATCATGACAGACTGACTGACAGACCGACCGACACATGGCTTTTAAATTTATGATTTTCAAATAGTTATGAAGGTATTCCTTAAAATGTATTAATAAAGTAGAAGATAAAATTAGGTTTAATTTTAGGAAATTTATAGCATATCAAACATTTTATTGATCCAGTCTTGAACATCTAAACATTAGAAATAAATTCCTGGTATATCACAAAACTACTGTTTTATATCCATTGTCAGTTGTTTAATCTAAACATAAGCTGATTTCAAGCTAACTTCAAGAATATTTTTTCTGAGTATGAAAATATCATGTTTTCAGACTATGACAAAGACATCCAATCTCATCACAAGAACTTCTTTTCCAGAATCTGAGCTTTTAAGCAAGAAAAGACCAGACACAGTAAGTTAACTACATTGATCAGCATTTAACATTACTGTAAGATGTCTGCCAAACTGTTGACCAGTAGTTAATATTACAGTAAGATATCCACCATCCTGTTGACCAGTGATTGATATTGCTGTATTACTGATGACAAAACCATGTTGAAACGTTGTACATTTGCTGTTGTGTTAAACTTATATTAAAGTTTTTTTTCATTACCCATTCAAGCCATCTCCAAGCATTATTAGTCTCAAAGTGGGTTCCTCGTCATCAAATTTGAAATTGAATTACTGTAAGGTGTCTACTAACCTGTTGACCAGTGGTTGACATTACTATATGGTGTCTGCTAACCTGTTAACCAGTAGTTGACATTACTGTAAGATATCCACCAACCTGTTGACCAGTATAGTTGACATTACTATAAGGTGTTAGGCAACCTATTGACCAGTGCTTTATATTACTGTAAGGTGTCTGCTAACCTGTTGAACAGTAGTTGACATTACTGTAAGATATTCACCAACCTATTGACCAGTGCTTTATATTACTGTAAGGTGTCTGCTAACCTGTTGAACAGTAGTTGACATTACTGTAAGATATTCACCAACCTGTTGACCAGTATAGTTGACATTACTATAAGGTGTCTGGCAACCTATTAACCAGTGCTTTATATTACTGTAAGGTGTCTGCTAACCTGCTGAGCAATAGTTGACATTACTGTAAGATATTCACCAACCTGTTGACCAGTGGTTGAATGTCTCACCCTATTGTATTTATTGTTAAACTTGTATGATCTTCAGTTGCATTGTTTTTAGGCACAAATGATATTTAAAACCATCTCTTCATCTTGTCAGTTATATAAGCTGCTGGTTGTAACTGTCTTGTGTTTATTATTTGGATAATTAATTAATTAGAGTTAAAATATAATGTTAGTATTGTTTGATTGGCAAAGGGATTTAAATGATAAACTGTCAAAAAATGATTGAGTTGCATGTTTCTACATTTAATATGCTTCTTTGTTCAACAGTAGTGAGAGAAATTTTTATTTTTGTCTTAATTAGCCAACTAAGAAAAAATACTTAAAATGCTGATTTTTAGTCATTTGTTTAAACAAAACTATTTGCATTATTGATATAAGATTTAGAAAGTAGGTGAAATATAATTATAAAACAAATCTTATAGCCTTAGATCATTTTTGTAAAGAAATAATTAGTTTAGTTAAAACTTAAGCAAACCATTTAAAGTAAAATTTCTAGAAAATAACATCCACTATAGAAAGCATTCAGACATTTAGCCAGTTTGTCCTTATACTTTTTACTTGATAGATTTTGTGCAGTGGCAAAATTTCCATCATTTAGAGCAAAGTAAAAAGCTTGATAGGCTTAACTGTGGTTGCAATTTTAAAGCATAAAGTAAAAACATCTGTTTAATTTTGGAAAGCTTCTAACAGTAGCAATTATGAGCCCAAAACATTGGTGCTAAAAACCTGTCACTAGTAACTACCAAGAACGTTTTTAATAAGTGAGTTGTTTTTTTAAGATACAATATTCTTTCTTTTTTTTTACCCTAAGGCAGCCACCCAGTTTAAGAGAAGTTTATCTCAACTGATGCTGATCCTTATGTCAAAAGAACCGTGGTATGTCCGATGTATCAAACCCAATGATAGAAAACAGTCAGGTAAGCTGACCTGTAAATATCTCTCTCTTAAAAAGAAAAGAAAAAAGAAATCTACACATATTTTTTTCTCTCCCCAGTGACTCGGCTGTATGTCTGAGGGTTCATGCCACTAAAAACTGGGTTTTCAGACTTGTGGACACAGCACAGATACTTTGTACTTAACAACAAACAAATAAATATTTTTCATAATAATTTGTTTTATATCATTTATTATTTCTTATGAAAATTGTAGTAAGCTTGCCAATTGTTATATTTGTTTCCACTTGAGAAAAAATTTAAGTAACAAATAATGTGTTTTTATTAACGCCATGAAAAGAAATATGTGATATATTAAATATTTGTAATAAAATTTTTTAAATTGTATATGTCGCATGGATCAACCAATGGGTATATAGATACGATTTATTGAGAAAGTTATATCTGAGCATCATTTTAGAGCTTTTATTTGATGTAAGTTTTATAGTGTTAAGTAAAATTATTTCTAATATTTCAGCTGTTTTTGATGACATGATTGTGTTACATCAAGTCAAATATCTTGGTCTTATGGAAAACTTGAGAGTTCGCAGGGCAGGGTTTGCTTACCGACGCCCTTATGAAGTTTTCCTAAAAAGATACAAGTGCCTTTGTCCAAAAACTTGGCCCAGTTATCAAGGTAGTGCCAAAGAAGGAGTACAAGTTCTAGTAAACCATCTGGGCTATATACCAGATGCTTACAGAATGGGAAAGTAAGTTTTGTGTTTGCAAGTTGACGTTTAGATATTTAAAGTAGAAATATATTTTAGACTTCATAACTCAATCTTAAGCTATTGTTTTAGAATGAGTAATACTTTTTAAATACGTAATAGAACTATTATGCATTGTTTCAAAAGTCTTGATCATATAGGTTGATTCATACTGCCTTACTGAAATAGACTGAAGTATTACTTCAACATGTATTTTGATAACCCCATAGTTATATTTTTTCATAATTTGGTAATATTTGTATGTTGTTATGATAGTTTTTTCACAACTCAGCATCAATCTAATTTTTCTTATTTTACATTTTAGCTGTAATATTGAAAAAAATATTTTTCAGAACAAAGCTTTTCATTCGTCTACCACAAACTCTTTTTGAGATTGAAGATAGCTTCCAGAACAAGAAACATGATTTGGGTAATTGTGTCCAGTTTTTTTCAACTTTAATAAACATGTAAAGAATCTGTTGTTAAGGCAGAATCAAATGTATTAATTCTTAAAAGTTTGTATGTATATTACATTTAAAATGAGTTTTGCTCATGATTAATTAAAACAGAAAAAAAACTGTGTAAATTAAACATTGTTTAATATCGATAACTCTGACAGTCTGAAATAAGATTAAATATTCTTTGTTTCACTATAAATAGTTTGTACGTTTATAATGTTTAGAACAAGTTCTGGCCATGATTAGTTAAAACAGACGTTAATTATACATTGTGTAATATTGACAGTGTGAAATAAGAATAAATATTATCTGTTTCATAGCCACAATAATTCAGGCGAAATTCAGAGCCTATGATCAGAGAAAGAAGTTTTTGCAAATAAAAACATCAGGTAGGAAAAATTACTTTTTTAACATTGTTTTCCTAACCATAAGATGAGGATACAGTAAAAGAATAATGGCGTAACTACAACAATAATAAATTCAAAGGGATTTTTGTGTAATAGACTTTTTACAAATTGTTCATATGTCTGCATTGTAATAGACTTTTAACAAATTGTTCATATGTCTGTATTACCTTTGAAAATTAATATCATATTGTAAATTATACATGAACTTCATTATTTATAACCTAACTATAACATACTATAGTATACTTTTGAAAATAGATTTATCTGTGTTTAAGTTATTATCATATAAAATATAAAAATGTATTTAAAAATATTTTCAATTAGTTTAATATTCAGGCTGAAATAAATATAGAGATGTCTCCATTTAGGATAAGTGTTTTGTGCATTTATTTTAAATATCATTTTATCTGTGGTCGAGTGTAGCCCAGTGGTTAGTGTGCCGAATTGTGGATCCAAGCTTCCTTGGTTCGTGCCCCATTACCACAAAAAAAAAAATCTTGTTCCATACATTTGACCCATGGGTGTTTTATAAGAATGATTCTGAAATCCCACGATTCAATTAGATTAGTCCAAGAGTTATTAGAGGGTGTTGTTGACCAGCTGTCTTCCTTCTATTCTATCAATTCAAAATTAAGCATGGCTATTGCAGATGGCCCGGCATGACCAGGTGGTTAGGACGCTCGACTCGCAATCTGCGGGTTGCGGATTCGCATCCTTGTCCCACCAAACATGCTCGCCCTTTCAGCCGTGGGGGCAATATAATGTGACGGTGAATCTCATTATTCGTTGGTAAAAGAGCAGCCCAAGAGTTGGCGGTGGGTGGTGATGACTAGCTGCCTTCTCTCTAGTCTTACACTGCTAAATTAGGGACGGCTAGTGCAGATTGCCCTCGTGTAGCTTTGCGCGAAATTCAAAACAAACAAAGCTATTGCAGATAGTCCTTGAGTAACTTTGCACAAAATTTAATAAACACCAGCATTATATTGCTAGTTTACTTACAACAGTGTTAAAGAGCATAATATACCACTTGGAGGCTGTAAATACCCTTTTTGTTTTATTGAATTTTAAAATTTGTAGTTTTACCTTGTGAGTGGAATAGCAAGCTATTAATTAAATGATTATTTTTGTAACAGCAAATATAAAGAAGACTGTATTAAATATTTTTAATTTATACTTAATTCTTCATATTAAATATTTTTAATGTAATTTGTTTATAGCAATTATTATATCCTGCTATTGGCGACGGTACGCAGCCAAGAAATCACTTGCAAGACGACGACGGGCAGCCAAGGTGATTCAAAAGTAAGAAAGATAAAGATATTTCACCATTTCTATCCAACATTGCATTTGTATTGTTGGTAACATATCTTCAAAGATTAAAAATAATTATGCAATTAATGCTTCAAATTTTGAATAGATTGATTTGAACAGTCATTATCATAATATAGTCTAAACTTTATAACAACCAAAAACAAAAATTAAAACTTAATTTTAAGTATAGTTCAGTAAACTATTTTTTTAATTTATTTTCTAATTTATATTTTTTTATTCCGTAATGATACCCTGAAATAAATGTGTGAAGTAGCAGTCACCTGTTATAAACATAAAGAAAAATATCTGGTGTAAGGAGAATGCATGTTCTGTAACGTTTACTTACTAAAGTCGAAGTAACTTGCCAGTGTGAAAGGAATTTTCTCAAGGACTATTTGATTGACAAAATGGTTGGAGGAGCCAAGTATACATGGAAAAGCACAGTTCACTTAAATATAAACTGTTAAATAATATATTTAAAAGAATAATGAAATAAAGTGTTTCCAATTTAAAATTTAGTTTCTCAAAGCCCCCAAGTGGGTCAGCTGTAAGTCAGAAGGCTTATAATTCTAAAAACTGGATTTTGATACTCGTGGTGGGCATTGCACAAATAGCTCGTTGTGCAGCTTTGTGCTTAACAAACAAACAAATAGTTACTAAAAATGAAAGAAAATTCAAAATTTATTATGATTTATTTTGTTCTTCTGTGGACTTCTTTTAAACTGTATTCTAAAAATATTTATGAGACTTCAAAAACAGAAGAGAAAAAATTTTTCCATTACCATTAAGTCGTAATGGAAAATGTCTGTTGTCGTAGCTTCCAAAAGCATTTTATAACACTAGAACTATTGATATATATACATATATTACCACATTTTAAATTTATTTCACACACGACTAGGGTAAATGTGATGCCATGATTTGATACAAGTCGTGTACCAGAATTATGTAAAAATTATGCACTGTAATGGTTGCTCTTCAAAGAAAATAAATATGAAAGTGGTTAATTAAACTCATTCCAGATGAAATTGCTATAAATATGTGAGATTTTTGTTTCCATTTGTTGTATTTTTGCTGCATTTTATTTGTGTGTATGGGTGGGGAATATAAATAAATATATGTTAGTTTATGGTTATGGGTCTTTTTCTGTACCTATTATTTAGTTTCATCAAAGGTTTTATCAGAAGAAATGAAGCAGAAAATGAAACAAATAAATATGTAAGTAGCAATACTTGATACTGAGCATTAATTATTCTGCCATGTTTTGTTTCAGAGTGATTATTTTGAAGCAATATTACATCTTACTAAAAGTAGTGGAAAAACAACCCAGAAGGTTGAGAGATTTGAGAGAGTGCTCGTCTTAATCGTGATGTACAACTTTTTAAACAGTTTTAAGATCATTATTTTAGTCATGTATAATATTTAAGATAAATTAGACCAGTGTATGTCATTTTGAAGTTCTCATACTATTAGTGAATTCATTATTATCACTGAGTTGTATACTAATGTTTACTCCAATAGAAATATTAATGTCATGTATAAAATTGTTATAGAACATTGACTATAGTCTCCTCACTGCCATTATTATAGGTTTCAGCTAAATTCTAAATTAGATTTCATGTTTGACTTGAAAATGAATTGGAAAAACAAAGACGTTTTTAAGCTGACAACTTACTTGACTTTTAAGTCAGACTACTATCCTATAAAAAGCAGCTTTTTCTTGTATACATTCGAATAAGCTTACTTTAGTAATATAAATGTTAAGCCAAGTCATGGGCATATGAAAATTTCGTTGATCTATAAAAATTACGTGCTAAGTTTCAATATTTTTTCACTTTTAAAATAAGTTGGACTTGTGGGGTTCTTTCATGAAATTTTAAATAAAACTGTCTAATCTCCACATAACAGTGAATCGGAATCAAAGTTGTGATTACATAAAAGTAACACTCATCATTTTCTTGACTGTACACACAGTGAGAATGTATTAAGTAATGTGTCAGATGCAGAGTTGTCACCAAAATGTTATCTGTTTATTCTTATCTACATTTATTTTAAGTCATTATTTATTATGCTGACCAGTGAATAATTATCAACTCTCTCGAGCCAATGAAAAAATTTTTAATTGTTGATCTTAACCTGTTGTGTTAAAGTTTATACGATGTGCGAAGTCTGAATACTTACGCCGTCTAGCTCACAACCTGCCAAAGAGTGTCCTTGATAAGTCATGGCCTCACCCTCCAAGATGCTGTCATCAGGTTAGATATTATTTAAGAATAGTGTTAAAGTTCATGTTTTTAATCTGCTAATGTATTCCTAGGTTATCCCTATATTAAATGTATTTTCTCCTTTTCTTTCTTGTTTACAGGCCACAGTTATTGAGTATTTATTTCATCTTATCTAATACTAAGCAGTAATATGGTATAAAATGTGTTATATTGTCTTCTAGAACCACCAAAATATCAAGTACATGAAATAAGCTATGTAGAATGAATGGCATAATTATATGTTTCATTTCTCATTTTTATTTTGCTTAATAAGGATTTAATTACAGTATTGAACAGTTGAAAAGGTTATATTTTTGGCTTTTAAATATGTTTTTTCTTTAAGGCTTCTAACCTTCTACAAGACATGCACAGAAAGTGGCTGATGAGAAAGTACTGCAAATCACTCTCTGCTGAGCAAAAAGCCCAGGTATGGTTACGTCTAGTATAATACTTATAATTATGTTCCTTGCTTTTCTCTCTTGAGCACTGCTGAAAAAAATTAGAAGCCAGTTTTATCTAAATCTTAACAAAAAAACGTGCAAATAAACAGAAAGTTTAAAATATGTTGACAACTACACTTTGGATGTATTGAATCTTACAATTGCAGTTCCAGAGAAAAAATGGTGTGAACTAAGATCCAGATGCAGCAAACAAAAGTCAACATAAAGAGTTTAGCGGAATGAATAAAATTACATGAAAACTTAGAACAACATAAAATACCTCTCAAAATCATAATCATTTAAATATAATTTTCTCTGAAAAAAAAGAAAAGTGTGCAAGAAACCCCAAAATTTAAAAAAATAATATTATAACAAAGGATAGTTGAAGGATTTCGTAGAGAAGGGAATTGGATTACAATCAATTCAAGGAGTTGGTAGAGAGAGGGGTTGGATTACAATCAGTTCAGGAATTTCATAGATAGAGGAGTTAGATTACAACCAGTTCAAGGATTTCATAGAGAGACAGGTTGGATTACAATTAGTTCAATAATTTCATTGAAAGAGGGGTTAGATTACAATCAGTTCAAGGATTTCATAGAGAGACAGATTGAATTACAATCAGTTCAAGGATTTCATAGAGAGACAGATTGAATTACAATCAGTTCAAGAATTTCATAGAAAGAGGGGTTAGATTACAATCAGTTCAAGGATTTCGTAGAGAGAGGGGTAGTCTTGGAATCTGACGTCTTCATATATTTTAGTCTGTGAAATGTTTGTCAAGATATAGTCTGAGGTAGATCTTGTCCTACTTTATAAAATCTTGTTACAATGAAAAGTTATGCTGAGGATTAGTATATAATTATGATATGCAGGTACAATGATGTCCTATAGATGAGTTTAAAAGTATCTACAGAAAACTGTTTCATAAAATGTATTACAGAGAATGATTCCAAACTCGGGCAGCAAAGGAAAGAAACACAAACATGGGTGACAAATTAAACAAAATCTTTATTCACAGTTAATTGATTTCTACCTTGTATCTTGATTGGTAAAAATAAATTTTGTGACACTAGTACAAAGAAGCAAGGGAGTCCGTACAAGGCTGTCCTTTAAATTACATGTTTTCCAAGAACTATTTATTTCGGTATTGAATGAAGGATATTTTTCATATATATATATTTACATGTAAGTACATTAAATTATTGTATTTGTGGATTTGCAGCTTGACCAAAAAGTAGTGGCCCATGATCTTTTTAAAAACAAGAAACAGAGCTACCCTCAAACTGTACCACAACCATTCCTTGAGAACAGGCTAAGTAGGTTTATTATATTGATTTTTTCTTTAAATACAATAGTTTTTTGATAAATTTTTGGAAAACAACATTATTTCTGTGTGAAATGCATTTATTTCCTTTCCATATGATGGTATAGAGAAAATATAAAGAATAATTCACCCCTAAAATACTGTCATGTTAGAATGTTGCTTGAGAAAATTCTGTGTAAGTTATTGATAAATGTGTTTTGAATGTAAACAGATCTTTATGCTTTAACTATTTTTTGTTTTCAGTCATTATTTATTCACTATAAGCTGTACGTGAAAATGCATCGTGTCTTATGTAAGATTATAGTTTCAGCTTCAAAGATATTATCTTGTTAAGGTTGCCACTATAAATATCATTTACTAGTGAGTCACAATGTAAAAAAATGTTACTAATCTTGATTTGTTAACACATAAGTAAGATTTTTTTAACTGATGTCGGACTCAAAGTTGTAGCTAACAGCCAAAGATCTGGATGTGAATAAAGTAGGTGGAAGGTGATCTAGATTTGCCGTTTCTGATACAGAAAGCTTTATGTACTTATTTGTTAATCAGCAAAATGCATATATATATAAAGCTAATCTAGATTAACCTTGTTTATACTGAGAGATATAATACAAGATGGTGAGTGCAAATAAAAAAAAACCTGAAGAGGCTATTCAATAAAACATAAAATTAAGCAGACATAAGTTTTATAAGCCTTTTAAAATTCCACATGTGGAGGATATGAAACGAAATCATTTTTTTAGGATTTATATATATACATTTCAATAACCAAAATATCATAAATTACTACATCGATACTGTAGATTACACTATAATTCCAGCTGTATTTCAGTTTTAAAAAATATGAAATTTCGAGTAGACTAAAGACTAAAAACCTACCTCCTTCAAATCGTATTTTGAAAGAATGAGATGGCATGGTAACACTTAGAAATGGCTGAAAAAGCCACTAGGGGACATTCTGAGCTTTCGATTGGTTATTCACATGTCATATACAAAAGTAAATGTATATAAAGGAGCTTTCCAAAAATGGAAAGAGGTGAATGAAGTATCTATTTGATTCAATACATGAACGATATCTCAGCAAAAAGAAAAGATAGGAGGTTCTTATTTTATATTCTAGCTTGTCAATATTGGTAATTTGAGTTCCTAATTTGTACAAAACTATAGACTTTGTATTTTAATATCACAAAGTTCTAATTTGAACCAGTGCTGCATTCGACGTAATGTGACACACAAAAATCGATGTTTATCTGTGTTTTTAATATTTACTTTTAAATTAAGAAATTGAATAATTTATAATACTAAAATTTGAATTATAATCTACAATTTGATACTGAACTTATTGACATAAATTAATAAAATACTAGTTCAATAAAATTTTTAATGAGTCAACAAACGCGATGACATGGCCTTTAACACGTGACCCATCTGGAAAGGATTAACTCTAAATCTGCACTCTACAGCCATGTTGAATCATGCTTTATCTTCCTTGGCTTTGCATGATCACCGTAGAGATAGGGTATTCTACATGATCGCTTGACAGTGAATAACCTTGTGATATTTTGCTTCATAAACATGCCTGTTCCGGACCATACAACCCATGGACTGCATGGGTAAAGCAGAAGGGGATTGCTGCCCATCCCTGCCATGCCTAGAGTGAATAACGTGAAAATACGATAGACATCCTTTTGATACTGGATGTCAATTTCCTGGATAGATAGCTCAGAGCTAATCCTCATGTCATACCCAGGAATCAGTGTGGGTCTTAATCTCCAGATCTTGTGTTTGAAGTGAAGATGGTATGATCGTCATCCTACCTTTCCATAGATGTGGGTTCACTGCGAGGAGATTTTGGATGTAGTTCACTTACAGTCGGCCGAGCCATAACCACTCTACACCCAAAGACACATCCTTGTTTACCCAGTTTTCTCTTGTGGGATTGATTTACAATATCTTTCTCTGGTTAGGATCACTTTCCTACCACATTCTCTCCCACTCGGATGTGCTCCTCTCATTTTCTGCCTGTATATCTTACACATTCCACACATTGGCGAAGAATACACCTGGCTCAGAAGTTGTGTGGTTTCCTCTTCTGATTTTCAGTTCTGTATCTCTCATTTTCAGGGGTATTCTTCAGAGGCTTTCAGGGGGTACTTCTGTCATTCCCTCGCACTGGTCTCTTCTCCTTTTCAATGTGGGATTCTAGTTAATCTTGTGACGAGAAGTGAGTACCGTATCAGAAGTTATAATTTTCCTATACTGAAAATGTATTTCCGATTGGTACTTACCTCCTCTAACACTTCCCACCCTTCCTCCCAACTTTTCCCCGGGGTGCTAACATTTTTCTGCCAAACTTCAAAGAAATAGTTTGGTAGAGGGAGTCATATGCGTCATGTGAGCATATCATGTTCCTATTGGTTAGGAGGTGATGCATGATGATTTGCATGAGAGATATATTGGAACACAGCAATTCCAATAGGGGGGGAAAGCGGAAGGCTTGTGGCAAATGTGAAGAAAAGGTTTGCATATAAAGGGCAGCATTGAAAGAGAATAGCTAATCTTGTGACAGGAAGTAAGTATCTACCGGAAATACATTTTCAGTATACGAAAATTATGACTTTTGTCAATATGATATATTTTTTTCTTTCAGCTCCTGAACAAAATACTATGAAAGCAAATGCCTTTGATAACTCTTCTAATCCTCATGGTGAAAAGACGTTGGTAAGAATAACTATCTTTTCCTTTCATTTATATATAAATATAACTGTAATGTGATTCTTATAGCCTAATTAACTTAACTAACCAATTTCTTAAAAATAAATCTGCTGATATATATATAAATGAACACAGTATTTATAATATGAACATTCAAACACCATGCACATATGCAGGTGGGTTTGGCTGAACCCCCTATTTTTGTGATGAAAAAAAAATTATTCTTATATAGTTATAGCACAGCTGCTTATGGTATTTAATGATGATGAATTAACATTAAACCCCTTTAGTATTAGCATGATTTGCATGCTGATTGTTGCTTTGCATGATATGTATTGGCTTTTGATCTTGCAAATTGGGATCCCCTCCCCCCTCTTTCAAACATTCTGCATACAAGTCTGAACACTAATCTGTTTTTTAATTTTATACTCTGGATGCTGTTGAAAGTATATCTAAACCTGTGTTCCAGGTATCACTACCTTATAACAAAACAGTTTATACAAGCAAGGTTCCCTTTTACCACTTGATTTGTTTGAATTATATTACAAAAGAAATGTGTCAGTTAAGATCAGTATTCTTGTAAGTCTGTGATAATTCAGTTTAAATCAAAAAGATGGTTACATTGTATTTGAATATGCAGGCATAAAAATAATCTTACCAGCTCACAAAGCTCATGTTTGTTAAATCGAATTGTTTGACTGATTTTGAATATTTTGTCAGTAGGAAACATCATAAAAACTTAATTCAGTGTTCTAGGTTTTATAGTAAAACCTGTGTCAGTGTCTTATTTGCTTTTGAGAATCAATAGTTTAATATAGTCATCTTTTTTTTTCCTTTCCCCGTAACAGTCAACAGTATTTTGAAATACAATATTAATTTAGTGAAAGTGTGTGTTTGTGCATTTAGACTTTTTTATAAAATATTTTTTCCAGCTTTGAAATAGATGGTTTAAACTTAAGATGTAGGTTCTTTAATCATCTAATTTCAACTGGTTAAACTTTTGTTTAAACCCCTCTGTTAAGATAGTGCATACATTGTTACTACTAATAAGTTGTTGGTGTATTGGATGAGAACTCAGAACAGACAAAAACAAGAACAAAAAATTAGGTCAGTATTACAATATTACAAATGTATGATCTATTTGTAACATAATTCAACCATATCTGGTAATGTAATATGTTATAATTCATTACAGAATTTTTTTTTTTTAAGTGACGAGGCAACTGTTCATTGTTGATGTACAACCACATCACATAGTACATTAAAAGTAACTGACATTTAGTGGGCCTAGTGGTTAGGGCACTCAACTCACCATCTGCAGATTGAAAGATCAAAACACATAATTGAACATGTTCACCATTTAAGCTGTAGGGGCATTATAATGTTATGGTCAATCCCATTATTCATTTTAAAGAGTAGCCCAAGATTTGGTGGCAGATGCTGCTAGCCAGGTTTCTTCCCTGTGACTGACAGTTCAAAATTAGAGACAGTAGCAGGTAGCCCTAGTAGTTTTGCCATAAACAAACAAAAACAATTAAAGTTTGTGTTCCACATGTAAGATATACTCTGTTATAATATGTACGCATATATTATTTTTAATTGATTATTATTATATTTTTATTATTGAGATTATTTTCTTTGTTAGCTTAATATATGAATTTAGGACTAACCAAATCTCCTAATCTAGTCAAAATCTCATGAGTTATTATTGGGTTCATGGCCTTAAATATCTGTAATAGCAAGGGCTACCTAACTGATGAAACAATACAATCGTATATCTAACAAGCTACAATCTATACCATGTTGATTTTTGTTTTTGATCTAAGTTGGTAGCTTGGTCTGTGATAAGAAGTTGATATTAATTAATAACTGGTATCATTGTATTTCCAATCATAGCTGTACACTTTTGATGTGATATTTTCTGGTAGTTATCACCCACTCACATATTAAAGGTAGAACCTTGTACAGTATATGTGAGCTTAATTGCAAGAAAACTCAGGAAGCTGGAATTTTAAAGTTAAATTTCTACAACAAAATATTTTTACAGCACAGAAGCTCACCTCTAATAAAACAGGATTCTCATTTTATAATAGTTTATAACACTTTTGATAATAGTTAGCATATTAGTTTTTTCAAATCTGTGCTACTATTGGCTAACTATTTGGATGCCAGTATACTCACTGTGTGTATAGAGAAGGATTAATTATGGTATTATAATATAAAGAAACAGAATGTTACAACATATTTATTAATTGCAGAGTAGATAAGGCATATTTCAAATGTGACTTGTTTTCTTAATTCTGAATTTTTTCTCTTCTTTTTTTTTTCAGTACTGTGCACCAGTGATCAAATATGATCGTCATGGCTACAAGGCTCGTGGACGAATTCTTGTGGTGTCCGACAGAGCTATTTATCTTCTAGATGATAAAGATTTTAAACAAAAACATAGGTTGGATTTTCAGGTGTTAACAGGTGATTAGCTTATTATATTTTTTGTTTGTTTATCAAAAGATAAATCAATTTAAATTATTAGAAGTTAACAAAATCAGGACCTTTAAAACAAAGTGTTAACCAACGAGGTTTTTCTTTTTTACTTTTGTACAGCCTTTAAAGCAGAGTGTTAACCAACAAGGTTTTATCTTTTTACTTTTGTACAGCCTTTAAGGCAAAGTACTACTTATACCTTATATTATCTCTGTGGCTCATTTTCTAAGGATTCTGTTGAGTGATAATACCATTATCAGAAGTATCAGTCTCTTTGTGTGCATTCCCTATCTTTAGTGGAAAGTATTTTCTATCTCATCTTTCTTTGTTTTTGCTTAACAGTTTCCTTCTGTACTACCTCAACTATGTTTCACTTTCATTGAAAAATCTTCTGCTTCTGTAGGGAATATTATAGCTACCGGCATCAAAAGCGAATATAACAACCTCATTTCTTTTTGTCTGATATTCTCCAAGTGAAGCAGTTGGTTATGCCAAAATGGAGATTTTTCTCACTCAGCTCTATATTGCTCTCTGTTTGTATGTATTTCAAACTTTAAAAACAAATACTCTCTATCTTAGCACATTGCATCTTCTTATACAGTAGCTCCGTATCTTTAAAGTGGAAACTTTGTCTGACTTAACTCAGTGCATCTTCTTATGTAAAAGTTCCCTCTCTTTAAAGTGGAAACTATGTCTGACTCATTGCATCTGCTTATGTATCAGTTTCATATCTATAAAGTTGAAACTTTGTCTCTTTCAGCTTATTGCACCTTCATATCTCATGGTTTCCTGCTAACTGCATTAACTTGTATCTTCTTAACTAGCAGTTCCGTACTTTCTTTCCAGTTTTTAAAACTGAACTGTAAAATTGAAATATGAAATAATTTTACAGTATATCTTTAATGGTTATTTTGTATTACCTCAATATCCTTTAAGTCACTTTTTTCTGAATCTACAGGGGGCATGAGCTTATCATTCATCACTTCCTGACTGTCAAATAATTCAGGTAGTCCAATTTAATGAGGAAAAGGTTAAAACTAAATACAAATGGACTGTAGGAAGATCATACATGAAGGTAACATAAAAATATCACTGGAGACACATGTAAGTAACACCTCATTACAAACGTAAAATAAAGAAAAAAGAAACTGGAGAATGCAAGTATATGAAATAACCAACCTTATCTTTCTTAAGATCGCTAGGTATCCTCAGCACCAATATACCATCAGTCAGGTTACTTACAGACAGACCTGTAGAATTAAATATATTCTTTGTAGAAGTTTGGATGGATGAGGTAAAAGACTGATTAATGGTACCTGTCTCATTAAAGGATTTTATTAAATTGACCATTTTAATGCTAAATTAAGTTTGAAAGCTCTTAGCTCTTGGCAATGTATCCTATGTTACTGATCGGTTGAGACAGCTAACTGGATCTCTTACAGAAGAGCTTAAAATGAGAATCATATATAAACTGAAAAAACATAATATATAATTCCACATTCTTTATTAGAACAACAATTTTTCCAAGAGTGATGACAATGATTATGGTATGATCTTAAGAAGTACATTGTACGTATATAGTCTCCATTAAAATTAATTATCAAACATTTTTTTAAATATTAGCATCAGTGTTTATATAAGAACAAGTTCAAATCTTTTTCACGGAGTCGTACAGCTAACTTAAACTGGCTTGTTAAAAAGTTTGATCTAAACCAGTAAATATTTCTCTGGCTTTTATAACTGTGGAGAGTAGTGTTACAGTATCTAATTGGATGAACCTCTGTAACGTGGAAAAAAGTTTATAATTCTTAATCAGTTCTCTATTAAACTTGTTTTTTTTTATCATTATATTGATATTTTGTATTTTTAAAAAACTTAAATTTTATCAGCATTGTCTGTAATTGCCTAATAGATTCAGGTGTCTTACAAAATTTGATTGTGGTTTGAGGATGAAAAAATGCCAGTTGACATTGACACAAAAATACAAGGCTTAACTCCTTAAACTCAAGCGAATGCTGCCAGTGCTCGGCCAAAAATCCCGATTTACCCATTGGATGGTGACAGCATCCGATAACATTTCTATAACATAAACTAATCTAAACCATGTTTTATAAGGTAAGGTATGGTGATAATTATTAGGAAATATTGAAAATAATTCTGGCAAAATGTGCACAAAATTACAGGTTTAAAGAGATAATTATGTATTTAATACAGTGGTAGGAAAAAAAAGTGACCAATGGTTCCCATAAGTTCAATGCTGAATATCAAGAATATTCTAAAGTTGTTTTAATTTATTGACTTAATGTTCTCCTAAGGAACAGTATTTTCAATTGTACTAGTTTTTCTGTCTGAATTCCTTGTATTTTTCTTTGTTTTTTTTTGATATGGAAGGTGCTAGATTTGGCCATAAAAATTGAAAATAAACCAGTTTTGTGTCATGAATGCTTAATTAACTTACTGTGTTGGAAGATTTGAAATAAATTGATCGTGTACAGAATGTTTTATTCAGCAATCTTTTTTTACTCTTATGTGAATTTTTTTCAGTATTCAGTCATTGATTTTGTTTAAGTTGCCTCATTGGTTTAGAGGCACATTGTCATTTTATTTCTTTAATTATATTTTCAGGGTGACTTAATTCTGGATTGTAGAGACCACCTGGTGGAAGTAGTTGTAAAAATTGTTATGGCCAGCAATAGAAAATCTTTAGTAAAAGTGGAAGAATCTGGATGGTGAGATTTATAGTAGCCAAACACTGATTTATAACTATATATATATTAATAAATTTAGTAAATTATTAAATCAGTTCTTGACTTGTAACCAAACATATAACATGTTATATATATCAGTTATTAGGTATTGTATCTGAGGTGGAATATTAAAAAATACACAGAAATAATAAACATATTACCTTTATTGATAAAAATAACTAGGTCATTTGAAGGACTTTTGGCTTACTAACAGATTTAAGTGCAGATTAGCTATACTGTAATAAAAAATCAGACAACTGTTTTCTTCAAATCACAGAATATAATATTAATTGATGATATGTCTTTTAATATCAGTTGTTTTATTTTTTGAAATGGAAGACTCAAGTTCATTAATAAATTTAGTAAATTATTAAATCAGTTCTTGACTTGTAACTAAACATATAACATGTTATTTGTTGTTTTATGGTAAGATAAATTGTTAAAACCTAGCTGAATAAAATTTTGCAGCATACCTCATTATATGGCAAGTGGCAAACAAGGGATTATAAACTTTAGCAGAGGAATAAATCCTGAGATTACCAAAGGCAAGGATGGCCATCTTACTGTGGTATGTATGTAATAACTATAATTATAAATTTATTGTAGTGTGAAGTTTTGAAGCACATACTCTCCATGAAAGTAGTGTTAACCTTTGAAATATCAACTGGGCAATCTCTTCCTGCCTTTTGTATTTTCATTTTTAGCAGTTCCTTACCTTTAAAGAGACACGTTTTTTTTTTTTTTTCTATACCATTCAAACTAGTACTAAGAATATGTTTTGTTTTATAAGTCTGTCTTTGACTAACATGACTGATGTTATATTGGTGCTGAGGATACTTAATAATCTTAGAAACAAAAAATTATCGATAAATATTTATACTTGAGTAATGAAGCACATTATACTGATATAATAATAAGTAGGCTAACAATGATTTATAAACATAAGGAAAAGTTTTATCAATTGTGGAACATACTACATGTTTCGACAGAACTTTAGTCTGTCTTCTTCAGGTATGATCAGTATCAGTACTAAGCAATCCAAGGTTTATATATAGTTACAAGACAATAGGGATTAAATGTGATGGAAATGGTGTCAGCAGGTGACAGGATATAGTTAGAAGTCAAGTCTGGAAGAGTGTATGAACAGTAAATAGACCTTACCAAATACGGCTGATGTTGCTAGGGTCATTATCACGGTTTAGTGAGAGATTGTATATTTTTATAATTTCTATAGTTTTTAAACAGTCTTTCTTTTTTAGTTTTGGGTTGATGTAGGAGAAGAATTTCATCCCAAAGTATTTTATGACCTCTTTCATATTGATGATGTGTCAAGGCAGAAATTTGGTTAAGATACGTAGACGATATCTTCAATATATGGCGACATGGGAAAGAGACACTACTCAATTTTGTTAAATTCTTAAACATGTTAAGATCCAATGTCATAATTTTCACACATGTAATAGAATCCAAGAGTTGTCTCCCCTTTTTAGATGTGAATATAAAAAGAGAAAATAACAAGGTTACCACCAGTATGTACGGGGAACTCCATGCCATCACACGTAAGATCTAACCACCACCTATCACAGAAAATATCCTCCTACTTCACCTACGTAAATTGTGCTATACAACTTTGCACCTATAAAGAAGACTTTCTTATTGAATTGAACAACCTAAAAAACATAGTACTATCTAAAGGTTTCAACCCCAATATCATAGATAGGGCTTGTATCAAACTTCAAAACAGTGTAAAATATTATTTTAACTCTGAACTTTCACCTATCAACACACAAAACATAACAAATTTGTTTGATTCCCTTTTGTGCCAGAAATTACTGGACTTTTTAATAATTTGATCATTGGTGTAAAAACTATATTCAAACTCTCACATAAAATTAACATCTTACTACCTGTTAAGAATCCCTTTTAAAAGAACAAAAACGGGGCATATATAGTATCCCATATTACTGTGGAAAGAAATACATAGGACAAACGTCACGTTCCTTAAAAACAAGACACAAAGAACACCATGGTCAGTTATCTGTCTTAACATATCATCAATATGAAATAGGTCACAAAATACTTTGGGATTAAATTCTTCTCATACACCAACCCAAAACTAAAAAAAGAAAGAGACTGTTTAGAAACTATAGAAATCATAAAAATAAACAATTTATTGCTAAACCTTGATAATGACCCTAGCAACATCAGCCGTATTTGTTAAGGTCTATTCACTATTCAATCGACCAGACTTGACTCCTACCTATATCCTGTCACCTGCTGACACCATTTCCATTACATTTAATTCGTATTGTCTTGTAACGATATATAAACCTTGTATTGTTTAGTAATGATCAGACCTGAAGAAAACAGACCAATGTTCTGTCGAAACATGTAGTATGTTCCACCATCAATAAAACTTTTCCTTATGCTTATAAATCATTGTTTGCCTACATATTAGTTAATGTTTATATTATTTAAAAGTTGGTTTTCAATGATAGGGATTGTGTTTCAAGGAGTGGTACTGAATCATGCTCATAGTAAGCTCATATGGCTTGCTGATTAATTGAAGGATAGACAGCATTTGTTTAATGAAAAAATAAGAAACTGATTTTTATTTAAAATTTCTTTAGAATAATTGTAATATTACATACTTTTAGGCTCTAAAGATAATAACTTACACACAAATACATTGATTAAATAAATGTATAGCATTTATTAACATGGTAACTTATCTCTCAGATTTGCTGCTTGGATGAGGATGTATCACTTGTGGTTAAATTTAAACAATGACTTATCTTCTCAGATTTGCTACTTGGATGAGAATCTGTCACTTGTAGTCAAATTTAAATAGTGACTTGTCTCTCAGATTTGCTGCTTGGATGAGGATGTATCACTTGTGGTTAAATTTAAACAATAACTTATCCCTCAGATTTGCTACTTGGATGAGAATCTGTCACTTGTAGTCAAATTTGAATAGTGACTTGTCTCTCAGATTTGCTGCTTGGATGAGGATGTGTCACTTGTGGTTCACTTGTGGTTAAATTTAAACAGTGACTTATCTCTCAGATTTGCTACTTGGATGACAATCTGTCACTTGTAGTCAAATTTGAATAGTGACTCGTCTCTCAGATTTGCTGCTTGGATGAGGATGCGTCACTTGTGGTTAAATTTAAACAGTGACTTATCTCTCAGATTTGCTGCTTGGATGAGGATGTATCACTTGTGGTTAAATTTAAACAGTGACTTGTCTCTCAGATTTGCTGATTTTCTTTTCTTCAACTGTAAGTGACCATATATTTTCATAATCCTCAGTAATCTAAAACCATATGTTCCACCAGTAAGGCAGCACAAGTTCTTCATCAGCTGTGAGTTTTAACACATGGATGGAATCCTTGTGATATTTTTTTGAACTTCATTCCCTAAAAGGAAGGAAAAAAAGAAGACTATAAAAAAAAACTTTGGCACATTTTTCTAGTTGTGAAAGGAGCTGATTTTCTCCTTTAAGAGAAGTATTATATTTCATAGATTGTTAATCTAACAAATCCCCCTCAATGGATTAATGTCTGTTTAAAATCTTGCCTTTTAGTTTTTCTTTCATTTGTGCTTTTTGTCTTTCTTTTTCTTATTTGTAACTTAAAGAAGAAAAAACAAATTTGTTCACAATTTGGTGTTCTCCTTCATTACACAATAATAAACATTTATGTAAGTATCTGGTGTTGGAGAGATCACTTTAACAATTTCATTCTTTCCTAGTTTATTTTAAGATATTATGAATCCCTCATTTAGAGTATACAGTATTCCTTATTGATCCAGGTTACTATAGAAGAAAAAAAACAGCAGCCTATTGTTCCTCTATCAAATTGAAAATTACCACTCAGCTATGTCTATGAAATATAGTATTCATGCATGATGATAAAAATCCTATAACCCGAGCGCTTTTGAAAGGTGGACCTTTCTTCTTCAGAGGCAAACTGAAAAAGAAAGGTCCACCTTTCAAAAGTGCTCGGGATATAGGGTTTTTGTAATTTTGTATCAAGACTTCCTGAACCTATGTGTTTTTCTGACATCTTGAATATTCATGCATGTTATTGAAAAACGGTGAAATTAAACCTTGTTAATTAATGGTTCAGTTTTGTTTGTAGTCTAATCTCAAATGTGTATCCTTTGGCTAAGTGTCATCCTATTTGTTTTAATACTGGTATAATAATTTGGAAGTTAATTAAGCCTAATGTCTTAAATTAGTAACCGGGGAAGAAAAAAATTATTTTTCAGTGTAATGAATTACACCATACCTTATATTCAGTACCTTTACAATAGCTTTAATATTTTTATACAAGAAAATTTAGAAATACTTTCTTTACCTTTTATATGACAATTTACAAGATTTGAGTAATACTATGAAGAACGTATATTGTTGTAAGCTATGTTTTCAATGTGTTAATTTATGTGTTTACTAGAGGGAGTTATTAATCGTGATTATTATGTAATAATCCAGAATCTTGGACTAACACCTAAATTGGTATATTAGTTATAAATATGAGTAATGAAAGAGCAGTTTGTTCAATTATTGAAAATTCTGTAAGTATTCAGAATGGAGGAATTGAGTAGTTGTTGATTTAGAGAAGAATAATGGAATGAATTATTCAACTTGTAAATGACCTGGACTTAGCATGTTTTTATTAAATAACCCAAAAGAACATTCCCAACAGTAGCTAAATAATATGCTAAAGTTTGTTAGTTTTTATTGAGAGAAAACAGAAAAAAAAATTATGAATATTTTTTTTTTCATATCACAGTTTATTAAACAAATTTGTCAGTTGGCTCTGGTTTAACCATATATGTTAACACAATATAAATGATAGAGGATTTAGGATTTCGTTTTTATATGTTGTTTTTTTTTCCCAGATTACTGTATCCACCTAAATTCTTCACAAGCTTGCAAGAGATAAAGAAAGTGATTGACCATTTTTATTGTAACACAATTATTGCTTTTCTGGAAATTATGTAATTTATCTTTTATAAAATATTTAAATAAAGTATTATTTATATGATATCTTCCCAAAATGTGAGCTTAAACAATTTATGACATCAATTACCATATTTAGCTTTCAGTATTTTGTCACATTACATGTCCTGTAGTTGTTTTTTGTAACTTTACTTAAAAAGTTTTTGTAAAATTTATTTACGTGATATTCATATAGCAACTTCCCTTGATTACAAAATCTTGAGAAAATTGTTAAGATATCTTAATAATAAAAAATCCACAGAATGTATTATTGAATGTTTTGAAACTAGTACAGTTTTTATGAAAGTGTTTAAAATACTATAGAAATTGATTAGATGTGTGTTATAACTGGTCTGGCGTTTATTTAGATTTTAGTTGTTAAAAATTAGAGTAGACAGTTTAAGATTTAAATTATTTTATTGATATAGCAATTGAATTATGTCATTTATTGCACATAAATTTTACAAATTATAGTTGGTTATCTCAAGGTCTTACATTCTTATAATATTTTTAATTGCAAACATTATTTTGAAATATACTTGATTCGAATTTTTTTTCTTTCATTTTTAGTAATAAAAAGCAATCCGTTTCAATTCATTCAAAAACAAGCTCTTAAATCCATGTTAGAATATTTGGGTATCAGTATTTCTTTTTGTTGTACTAATTTCTCTAATTTTAATATAGTTTTAAAACATGTTGACACGTTGTTATGGATTAGCAAGTATTATAGATATTTTCGAATGTGCATTTACATTTTACCCCTAAAATAATTAATTATAAACGTCATCTGTGTTACCTTGTAGAAAGAAGAAAAGTAAAGAAATAATTATGTGTCGTAAGAATGGAAAAACACGTAGTATTTCATATGGCAAAATAACT